CAAAATTCTCCATAACATTAATGCAATCAACATCACCTATGGTGTCTTCAGGAGGCGGAGGGATCTCCATGGAGGCGGTGGAGGATAAAGCGGCTGGCTCTGGTTTCTCCTGATCACACTTGTACTGCTGGAATTTTCCCCTCTCGCGAGTATCTTCCTCCGCATCTGAATTCAAATACGAGAAAGAATCCGCCCGAGAAGCAGATGATTCAGAAGAAGAAGTTGTGGGGGCGGTGGCGGTTACTGCTTTTTTCGGTGCTTGGGTCGAGGATGACGATGACATGCATGGAAAATCCGGTAGAGGCGGAAAATCATTGTAAAAAATTGTTGCATCATTCAAATCAAGAAGATTTTCTCGCTCTCCATCATCCGGCCATAAATCTTTCTCACCAAGACGATCTTCCTCCATAGCATCAAAACCATTAAAGTTCATAACCACCATCATCTCCTCCATTTTAACTTCATTTCCACTATGCAGATCTTGTTCAACTTGTAAGCCTTTATCCTTTATCATCCTTCCTTCACTGAAATTCATTATAAAAAATCAAAATCTGGGACTTCTAATTTTGGTTGAAATTATTTTCTTGGATACGTATTCTAGAGAGAGAAAGAGGAGAGAAGAAAGATATGCTGTGTACGGATAAGGAAAAAGAGTGTTCTGTAACTGATTAAGGAAGCAAGTTTAAGGGCCCATTACACAACTTGCAAAACATAAAACATCTGGCATTTCTCTAATCAAATCTCACAGAAAACCACCTCTCTTCATCAATCTATACTTGCAACAAAAAATCCATATACAAGGAGTACACACACATGGATCAACTCAAATTTTCCTAGAATTGTCCTAGTATTCTAGGAATTTACAGAAAGATGACAAGAAGCCAAGAAACCCTAAATGACAAAGCTAGAATTCTATGAATCGTTCTAGTGGATTCTATGAAGTTCCATTCTCTTCCTTTAACGGCCTTTGTTGCAGGCAGATAATTAGTTCAAATCGGTTTTATTGGGTTTTTAGAGGTAGTAAGAGTGGTTTTTATTTGAACTTTTTCAAAGAGAGAGAGAGCCCAAAACAAAACCTTGTGCCGGTTGTTTCTCCACTAATCTCCGGATTCTACGCCAGTATCCATACGTTTCAACCTCAATGGTGCACCCCAGCGGTGCCTCAGTCTTTTTCTATAATTCAAAGCCTCGCAATTCTCTCTCTAATATTCATACGTTATATACATATCCATCTATGCAAGCAGCTCCTGTAAATACATGCATATATACGTATACAGAGAGAAAAAGTGTAATTGGGCCGCTTGAAGAGAGAGCTCTTTGCTTTGTTAACTGAGTTTTACATTTGTGGGAGTAGCGGCGAAGGCTCTTTGTCTTTTAGCTAAGTATCTCTTCGTTGCTGACGTATACCTGACTCTATTTCAGACCAATCTTGCTACAGCGACAAATTCAATGATAGAGGAAACAAGTGTAGAAATATTATTGGGAAAAAAATATAATACCCAATCGAGAAATACTATTCGTACAGACTCATTTGCACAAAGTTTGTACAGATGCTCTCACATGGGTGGACCCCACACATGGGGTCCACATGTGGGGTCCACCCCCATGTGAGAAGCCCTGTATAGACCCTGTGCAAATGGGTCTGTACAAGGAGTTTATTCCTACCCAATCACTATCTACCACATTACCATTTTTTTACTGCCAAGATCATTATTCACCACTGACCAAACCAATTATCTCTCTATTTACCATAACCATCCTTTTTGTACATATACATACTAGAGCTGAACTACACGTACAGGGTCATCCTTCACAGACAACACGCATCAAGGAGTGGATGGTTCCTTTTTGACAATAAAATATTAATATGGGGCTGGGGTGAGATCCCGTGAGGCCTCTGTAAATTCATTCCCTGTACGTAGGGAATAAATGTACATACTATACATACAGCAGATATAAAAATCAGATTTTTATCCAAGTTTTGATGGATGTTGACGGGATGTGGGATTGAAAAGTTGTAATCAACAAAATAAATTACTGATTTTAATTTAGATTTTAATCATTTTTTTTAAAGCTAAATCAAGCTTATCTTATTATTATAAATACACATGTTCATATATGCTAAAAGATGAATCTAATGCTCACATATATATAAAGAATTTGCATTATTTCTCTTAATAATATTGATCTTTAAGATATACTATAAATCTTGACACGACAACGCTATATAAATTAAAATTAATATTGATCTTTAAGCTCCTATCTGGTATTAAAATTAAAATTTTAATTGAAGTTAAAGTTATCAACTAACTTTAATCACATAATATGTAAAATTCACAACTTTTCAATCTCACATTTTATCCAATTTTATCAAAATCTATTAAAATGATTTTAATCCCACCAAACAGAACTAAATGTGACTCATTCCCTACTTTTAAGATGATCTCGTGATTAATGACTTGCATCAGTTATGCTGGTGCTTTGCGTCATTTGGTTTTAATAGTTTTACTTATCTTGATATAGTATCGAAGTATATTAAGTTCCAAACACTTGAATCCGATTATGATTAAAAAAATGAGTATATAAATTTCAAGATTGTATCTACTAGAGAGATGTTAAGAAATATACTCTCCATTGATCATTTTTCAAAAAGATAAACGTATAAAAGTTTAAAATATTCATCTCAATAAAGTTGACATTTTAAGATCTATTAAGCGTGATTTTAGGGATTTAGCTATAATTGAGAAGATTATTTCCTTCATCAAATATTTTGTCCTAGATTGATTACTTTCCATGCATGGTAGGACGTGGATGTAATATATACACCAATGTTAGCATATTCAATCAATAAGAAATTACTACATTCCATATGAAATTTAACATGGTATCAGAGCGGGTTCAATCTTGAAGAAATCGATCCTTGAATTTCGTTTCCGGTGGCAGCCTTGGGCCGTCGCCGGGCCAAACCATTTTTTTTCATTTTAACCAAACCTTTCTTCTCTAACTACCTATTAATATTATAGCAGTGGTTACGCAGACTCTCCTTCTTCATTCTGCTGCTACTAGAAACTACCTACAGCAGCATAAGATTCAGCCCAAGTTTTTTTCCTTTTTTTAATCTCGTCCCTTGGGTTCTTCGTGAATGGTCGAAGCAAGTTTTCAACAGTTCAGTGCATACAATTATTCATACATATACACACAGAGAAATTCAGCCGGTCGGAAAGGAGTGCGCTTTGCAACAAAAGAGGCTGCAGACAAAGCTGTGGAAGAATCAACGTCTTTGTTCTTGTTATCTGATTTGTCAAACCACAGCTGAGGCATGAGAAACCACAGGGAGATGCGCTTGCATGGTGATCTGTTTCTTCAAAGAATTGATGAAGGTGTGTCTGCAGTCCGGCACCGGTTCCGACTTCCGACACAGTCACAACGTTGTTATTCTTTTAATGGTATCTCGGATTTGGAGCAAGCGGTTTGTCAATTTTGAAAATGCCGATGCTGCAGTGCTGCGAAAGCTGCTGAAGATATATATGTGGCAAAATTGATGATAAGGAGATGGGGCAATCAGGCAATTGAAAGTCAAATATTGGGGCTGCTGAGATTATTTACGATTTGGGCTATTTCCTTGAATCTTTATTAGCCCATCAAAATTTGTCCGTTCTATTTTTTTCAAACCTTTTACAATTGGCTAAAAAAAAAAATTTTTTTTTGGGGGTTGGTATCCTGAACTTTACCGGCCCCCCTGCCTCTTAAAAAAATAAGAGGTTCTTTGAAAAAAAAAAAAAAAAAAAAAACTTTGGAGGGTCGGTCCTTGAATTTTACCAGCTCTCTCGTGCCCCTTAAACAAATTAGGGGTTTTCAAAAACAAAAATTTTGGAGTGTCGGTACTTGAATTTTACCAGCTCTTCCGTGCCCCTTAAACAACCTAGGGGTTTTTTTGCCTCTTATACAAACTATAGTTTTTTTTTCAGAACAAAAAATTTTGGA